GAAAGCTCTGGGAGGTTGCATAAGAGTGCACTGATAATGGGGAGGCATGCCACAATGCAGTGGGGCTCAGGGTGGCTGCTGCTGGGTGGGGGAGTGTACATGAGGATGTGCACATGGCCGGGGAGGCATAGCATGAGCACAGCCAGGCTCAGAGAGGCTGCACAAGAGTGTGCAGGTGACCAGCAAGGCACAGCATAAGTCCTGCAGGACTGGGGAGAATGCACAGGTGGGGGAGACTTATCTGAGCAACTTATGGCATTTCCTGCCAGCTTACCTATTGACTTTGTTTGTGGGAAGCCAGCAGAAAAAGTCACAAATTATGAATCACATAACCACAGGGCACTGCATATCGTAAGTGTGGGCTGGGGGCCAAATGCCCAGATTGTGATCATGTTACCTCAAAGGTGCTGGGATGGGCAGAATTCCAAGGACCATCCAAAGGCGTCCAAACTTTGTATGGTCACTGAATGAATGCTCATTAATCACTGACTACCTGTACAGGGTTTCTATCCCTCCTTTCCATTGTCCTTGTTCATTGCAAATTCTGAATAATGCTTAATTTTACCATAATAGGAAGAATCAATCTAAATGTGTAAATAGCCATGATTCACATACCGTATTATGAACTTCAAGAAAAAAATATAAATGTAAATATGATTTATATTTCATAATCTTGGTGTAAGATATGTGTCATTCCTATTCTAATTCTATCAACAGTCGAACTAAAATTGGTTTGCTCTATGAACAGCTATGGAATGTATTTATTTAAAACATTTATATAGCCACATATTGTACATATAACCAACTCTAATCTAAGCAATTCCTGATTAAATAAAATTACATATACAAAATATTGTATTTGCTTAGTTACTCTATGAGTATCTGTTAATAAGATAAGAACATCTAGGTAGGTTGTTTGGATATTTCCAGTTTTTTCTATTCTTGCTTCCACCATGCCCATGCTTTCTATTTAGCCTTTTCTTGTTTAAACTTCTGGCTATTCGCTCTTTGAGGATTTCATCAAATTCCACCAGTTATGACTTCGTTGGACTTTTTCTTTCTCTCAAGCTACATCATTCTTCTTTCAAATATTTATTTTGTAATTCAGCTGTTATTCATTATATTTTATTTAACCATCTAAACTTCTTTCATATTGATTGCTAATTTTTGCACATTCTACATTCATCACCCATTCAATCTTGATGCTGTCTCTTCTTTTACCACATCCATTTCTTAAATACACCATTTCCATTGAATTCAACTAATTCAACTCACCACTTGCCCAACTCTCTTCCACATGAGCAGAAGTACCTGAATAATCACTCTTTATTTTTTTCAGCAAGTGTTCATTCCTTCTTAAGAGACCAAATCCTACCCACTATCTTTCTACATACATTTGCATGTCTTAATTTTTTTATCCATTTCTCCATCTTTAGTAAACATTCTATCACCTAGAATTCATTTGCTTATTGTAGTTTTCTGCTATTTTTTGTATAATTCATAATGTCACTCCATTTTCTCTGTCAACAACAATTACCTGCTCTATGATACATTAATTTTCAGATTCACACTCCATATGCATCATATCTAATATCTAAAACATGCATCATATCTAATATCTAATATTCACTGCAAATCATTCATATTCTCAGCCAATACAGAGAATCATCTGCATATAAAATGTATTAATGTCCAACATCTTAAGGTCTTATACGTTCTCATGTTTTTTTCTTGAACATTTACATTTATATCATTTGTTTCAAATCTTTAACCTATTAGTATAATTCTCATGCAAATTGCTAAAGTACTATTTCCAGTATTCCACCATTTCATCCTAAATAATTTCAGTACTTTATTTTTTAATTCCATTTACTCTATAGAAGTTCCTTGTTCAGCTCTAACCAAAACAGTGTATGACTTCCACTGAAATTGATTGATTGATTATATGCCATCAAGTCATTGTCAGCTCTTAGCAACCACACAGAAAAATTTTCTCCATGATTCTATTAAAATTACATTATATTTTCTCTGCCTCTATTCCTATTAACCATTCCTTGAACTCTTTGACTAAATTGTTTGCAGCTATCTTTTTCTTTATATATATTAAATACAGGTAGTCCTCAACTTACAACAGTTCATTTAGTGACTGTTTAAAGTTACAACAGCACTGGAAAAAGTGACTTTTGATCATTTTTCATACTTACAACCATTACAGCATGCCCATAGTCACATGATCAAAATTCAGACTCCTGGGAATTGACTCATATTTATGACAGTTGCAATGTCCTGTGGTCATGTGACCACTTCTTGTGACTTTCTGTCAAGCAAAGTTAATGGGGAAACTAGATTCTCTTAACCATATTACTTAACAACTGCAGTGATTCACTTAATAACTGTGGCAAGAAAAATCATAAAATGAGACAAAACTCACAATAAATGTCTCACTTAGTAACAGAAATTTTGGGCTCCATTGTGGTCGTATGTGAAAGACTACTTGCACATAATGTAAAAAAACACCCCGAAAACAGACTTATTTTTATTGACCTGAAGAGAGCTTTTGATTTTAATGAGGTTTGTGGTGGAAAACGTAATCTAGCTAAATTACTTTTATAATGAATTCAAAGCACTTCATTAAAAGTTAATCAAATCACAGCTGAGATTCCATATGAAACCATACCTAGAGAAATCAAGCCTGGGTACCTTCTGGCCTTTCTTGTTCTTGCACTTTTTAAAATCTATGTTGATGACAGAAAACCTGCACTCTTGATATGTCCAAATGTATAATTCTTCTAAAGTTTAACTCTTCTACACAATACGCAAAAGCTTTGGAAATGTTGGGCATTTACAACAGTCCCAAAGACTTATCTTATGATAGGTCAGTCACAAGAACCATTGGAGGAGGGAACTAAAGTGCCAAACTGCACAAATGCCATTGAATAGGACAAGCAGTCCGTACTTGTGAATATTGTATACTGGCTAAGGCTCAGGATGGTGCTATGTAAAGAGACCAAATTAAAGGGTAAGCAGGTTAATGGAATGGATATACATCTTGTGGAAAGCAAGTGGCCCCTATGATCAAGTGCATAAACTAAATGTCTACACAAAATATTGAACACATCACAGATATAGGGGTTCAGCATCACCGCTGTTTTTTATAGTACTGACAATTATATTGTGGGAGAACCTAGAATCTAAGTGTACAACTGTTCGATTCTTGAACCTGGAAATCAGGACTTAATTGGAGACTTTAACCAACTATTATCTTTCATTACTGCTTAAAACAAAACAAAAAAAAATGTCCGAATATTGCTTTCCTGAAATGTGGCTACTTATACATTTCTGTAAAGGTCATTCATGGCATTAATATTTGATGCTGTTGCTGCAGAAAATTAAGTTTTGTGATACTTGGGGTTGGCTAAATATGTTACAACTCAGATCCATGTTATTTTAATGTAAAATGACTTCATACAACTTAGGACAACAAAAAGACCATTGATTACAAAGTATTTTCCCATATAAAATCATTCAGGTTTGCTCAGACATTGGAGATCAAAGCAGCAATAGATATCAAAGGTATGGAAGGACATCAAAAATTGCCTCCAGTATCCACTTATGATTTGGAGACTGTGCATAGGGAAAACAGAAGAATTTAGTATCAACAATTTTTTTTTCATTTTTCATTCATAACGAGTTTTCTGAGAAAAAATAATACACTGAATCCTTCTGCTTGCCATTCAAATTATACTATAGGTCCGTTAATCCTTATGTCAATGGTGCTTTATTACACACAGGCAGAATTGCCAACTAACAAAATCCACAAAAACTACTACTAAACCCCCTGCTATAGACAAGAGAATTTCTTCCCTAAAATATCATTTTCCCTAATCACTTTTGCAATAAATCAATTACCCCCTCTAAGACTATCCATGCCATACCCTAATGATCATTAAATAATAAGAAAGAGGAAAAGCTATCTTACATCTCGTTCTGATCCTGATTACATCATGAGCCCAGAACTGGGGAAATCCTGCATTCCAGAGACTTAAATATATTTCTAGAAATACTTTCCTAAACACTGACAGACTTTTGAAAACAAATTTAATGCAATAAAATTAGATAAGTTATTACAAATCACACATGTGGCTTTTCCCCCCTTGCTTGCATTTATGAGCCAATGTAATTAATCTAAATAACTAGTATACTTTAATTCATCTCTTAGCCAAACTACAGATCTATACAATTACATATACAGATTAATACAAGCACCTATCCATTACCCCAAAGCACAGCTGTGAGCCTCCCCGTCTTAATCTGACCTGCATTTTAATGGTGAAACAAAACTTATCTCTCCGGGTAACTATTTTTCCTTCTATAATTGTAACTTTCCTCAACTTAAGCCCTTGGGGAAATATTTGAGGTTGTTTTATACTGCATGAATAAAATTGTGCACAAGTAACAAGAATGAGATTGCACATTTTCTGGTAAACCTGAATTTGCATCAAAATTCATATTATAAGCTTCATTTCATCTTTCTTAAATTTATTTTTTCAATGTCATCAGCACTGTTTCCGGCTGTATGTTTTACACCTACACTATTTTATTTATATCTCTGTTATTAACAGTGCGGAAGGAAAGAAAATCAAACTATCATGGCAAAAGAGAAATGCAACAGAGACTAATGTTTCTCATAGCTTTTGGGTTTTAAGTATAAGATTGTGCATAACAGGACTGTTTATTTTTCTCATCTATAATAGTTTCATCAGGAGAATGTCTATTGATGTTGACAGCCCTGTTTTTAAGTAAATTATCTCAGCATCTTAAATGTTGAAACTATTTGCCTTTGATTAGTACGTCAAAAAAAACCCAAAACAAATAACTCCCTAATCATCAACACCTGAATGATCAATCTACTAATATGGTTACTATCCTCTACAAAGCACAAACATAAACCTTTCATTCAGCTGCCCCCACACTTTTTGCACACTCATAAATTCACTGACCTCCTTTCCATTCTTCCAGCTATTTGGTCCATAGATGCTGAAAATCTTACGCAGAAAAGGAGAAATAAAAATCTAAAAATTGCACTGCTTTCCATTGAGAAATAAATCAGACTCTCCAGACCCAGCACATCTGTTCATGTGTAGCAAAGAAACAAGAGCCAGTATTTTCAGCAACCGGAGATAGACAGCTGAGCTAACCAATAGGAAGCAGTGCTCAGTACCATCTGAGCTGTCATGTAGTCTCTATGCAAAATAAGAGGCTGTCTTGGACATTTTCTACTGAACGTACAGTCACCTTCCTTTTGTGCTTTAAAATTCATACCAAAGGATTAGATACAGTTGAATACTTGAAGAACAACTACTAAGACAAAAGATATCCCCCAACAGAAATCTACTTTAATACTAAAGCTGTCTAAATTGTTACATGACAGCAGCATTATGTTCATTCTTCCATGTGCATGGAATTAAAATATAACTCGTGGGATCACTGGATTGTTTAGCTATATTTTTTCTACTTTGGAGATTATTGGGAGGAATTTTTTTCATAAAAGTGGGTTTTTAAAACGAATACAAACAATTGGATATATCTCCCTACACAAAACAACTGAATAGCAAAGTATTTCAGAAAGGGGCAATGCAAAGGTTATTTCTATATTCTGTTCATGGACCAGGGCAGGGGTCAACTGGCTGGCTGTTGAATTCTGGGAGTTGAAGTCCACAGGTCTTAAAGTTGCCAAGGTTAGGGACCCCTGGAATAGGGCAGCTGGCACTTGAATAGCTTCACTTTCACTTTCCGTGATCCATTTGCATCCTTGTCTAGTAAACAAAAGCTTTCTATGCCCTCCCGTTATAATCTGTCCGTGCACATCGCCTATGAGAAAAATGAAATAGGACAATATATCTGAGCTTGCCAAGATGTTAAAATCAACGTCTCTCCCTCCCTCCCTTTCTCATATATGGCCATCTAACAATTTACATTATTAATCAATATATATTTGGATGAGATTCAGAAAATACCATCTGAAAAATGATATTTGTTTCCGAGTTAGTTACCGCTTGCCAGTGTGAATGGTTATGGAGACCAATCAAATTTAACCTGACAAAACAATTATTTGATAAGTCTCACAATAAAATCCTAGATGAGAAAAAGAGAACATATTAGCATCTGATGACAAACCAGCTTAAAAAGAAAATACTTTTAAAAAAAAGAAGATATTTTTTTAAAAAGAAAATATTTTTTTAAAAAAGAAAATTCTTTTTAAAAAAGAAAATACAGTAAAACTATTATTAATTTTGTGTTTCCAGACCTTTGTGAGAATAAACCTGCCTTGTTCATAGAAATTTGAGAAGACTGTGCCAGGTGTTGTGTTTCATTTGTTGTTTTCACACTTACCTCCATTACTAAACACTCAAGAAACATTTTGCCTTTGTAATACAATAAGACATGATGAAATCTAAATTTTCATGTCATAACTCTAATGATTTCATAATACTTCATTGCCCCTCTGGTGATTTATACTGCTTTCACAGAAAACAGAACACATAATACCCATCAAAACTGAAATAATAAAAAGGCTGCCTTCGTTATTAATATTTTGACACAGTGACGATTGGATGATTCTAGAATGCTTCTAAATGCTTCTAAATGCCTACTGGGAAAATAATTGATACCATCAGAAATCCAACTGAAGATTTTATCATATTTTAAAAAATGACATACTTTTGGAGGCTTTATAGACCATACTCAAGACTTTGGAAGTCTCTTATCACCCCAGAACCATTGGTTGTGGTTTAATAATTTAATCTCTGTTGAGATAGGCAGTTACCCTTTAAGTAAGATATGAAATACCAGCAATATTGGGACCAAACTATAAATTCATTTTTCCTTCCTTCCTTTCCCTTTTTTTTTCCTTTCTCTTTTGTCCAAACGTGTTGTATTTAGAAAATTTGGCAGTTTTATTGCCAATTGAATATAAAAATACTTATCAAAATGTCTTCATTTTAAGACATTAAATCATTAATCCAGTCATATTTAATAACCTGCTTGAAATTCCATGGACGTCATGTGGATTATACTGTAGAAAGCAGATTGAGAACTACTGCCCTATGCAAATTCCAAATTAAGTTAAAATGGAAGTAAAAAACCAAATATTTTCCAGGAGAAAACTATCATGAGCATACAGGATGAATGTGAAACAGACTGTGAAAGACCAAGAAAGAAAGCATACTGGATGTCAGAACAGATGATGGAAATTGCATAGAAGGGAAGCTAAAGTTTAAAAAAGTAAAGGAACATGACAAAAGAATTTCAGAGAGTTGCTAGAACAGCGGTTCTCAACCTATGGGTCGCGACCCCATTTGGGGTCGAACGACCATTTTACGGGGGTTGCCAAATAACGTGATCCGCCATTTTTCTCCCTCAGGGGCGCCGCCGCGCATGCGCGCCGCGCATGGGGGCGCGTCCGTGTGACGGGGGTCGCCATCATACAAAGGTTGAGAATCGCTGTGCTAGAATAAACAAAAACAATATCACATTATAACACTGAAGATGGAAAGACTTGGAAAAAACAAGAAGTCTTCCAAAAGAACACAGAAATAAGGAGGTTCCAGCTTAAAGTGATATACTAAAGAATGCCAATGGAAAGAAAGAAAGAAAGAAAGAAAGAAAGAAAGAAAGAAAGAAAGAAAGAAAGAAAGAAAGAAAGAAAGAAAGAAAGAAAGAAAGAAAGAAAATAATAATAATTTATGGTGAAATATAGTCTGAATTCCCAGGAGGGATGGGCTGCATTCCAGAGGACCAAGAAACAGCTAAGTTTAGATAGTTTGGTTGGGAGAGTCAAGATAGCTCCTCCCTAAAAGTACTCTGAGTACATCTTTAATTATGCAAATAGTTACTTTAGTTTGACAAGATTTCTGTCTATAGTGAGGAAAAATAAAGGAAACTTAGATGTAACTCTGCATGCCTTTCTTGGTTTTTGGAGCCTGACACTATCACGCAATATTCACATACTAACAAAATAATACATAGGATCTCCAACACAGGCTGTAACCCTACATGAGAAAAGATATTCAAGCTCTTTTTAGAAAAGGCCAAGGAACAAGTTATATTTTTGCTGATGCGAGGTAGGTGAAAAAGCCAAAGAGAAAAGATATTCAAGCTCTTTTTAGAAAAGGCCAAGGAACAAGTTACATTTTTGCTGATGCGAGGTAGGTGAAAAAGCCAAAGAATACTAAAAAGAAGTCAATATATGCTTTATTGGTTATAGAAAAGCCTTTGATTGTGTTGAGTCTAGCTGTGGAATGTCCCTGGGAAAATAGGAATCCCAAAACATCTTGTACAAAATCCATCTACAAGATAGGAAACCACAGTATATATATGACAAAATAGCCTGGCTACAGGTTTGGCCAGTCACTCTCTCTTACCCCAACAATCTCATAGGGTTGTTGGGTGGGGAAAATAGGAGTATCAGATGTGTTTGCCATCTTGTAATATACAAATAATAGACATGGGATAAAATAATCTGAACATAACAAAAAAAGAGACAAGGCTACATGGGTAGTCTTTCAGTTATGACTATTTTGAAGTTAGAATGGCACTTATGGGGTCAAAGGCTATCAATTTTCCTTTAAATTCCAACTATGTCTTCTGCCTAATATTTTAAATTCTTTTTTTCCCCTCACATGCAAAGATGTCCAACAGGGTATACAAGCCTCTGGAAACTGCTATGGAAAGTTTAAAAGACAGATTTCATTTACTTAAATAAATGGTTTATTCTGTTTACCCTTACATGTCCCTTGTTACATTACTACATCAAAGAAAATATACTTTTCTTAGTAATCAGCATTACAAAATAAACGTTAAAATTTTCATTTTCTTGATTCAAAATGGACCCTATTTAGAACAGAAGCTGTACTCACATTGATGTAAACTAATGAAAATCTCCTGAGCTCGGCAGGATTTTCTTACAAGGAAAGCAACTCTGGGATATTGTGTAAGAATAAAGTCAAAAGCATCATGAAAAATTTACACAGACACACATTCTGGGCCATTTTATGAAAGACTCATCAGGGAAACATTATTAAAGCAAAAATGTTTATTAGATCCATTCACAGCATCACAGGAATTATGATCTGGGTCTCTCCTTCTTGCCTTTATACAAGGCTAGTAGAGAAACATTGGCTACTTTAACTACTTTGAAGCGAACTCCAGGAATGTCACCAACAGCATGACCCTTCCGACCAAAGCCAGCAACCAGAACTTCATCGTTTTCCTAGTTTAAAACAAGACAGCAATTAATATTTGATGACAAAAGCATGATCGTACTTTTACAATTTTCAGTTCTAAGGAAAAAAAACTGATTTAGTTTCAGTTAATAATTTTCCACCTTCAATTAGGTGCCGTATTATATTCATCAATGTATTTACCTCAATAAAATTCAAACAGCCATCATTGGGAACAAAAGCTGTAATCTTCTTGCCATTCTTGATAAGCTGAACTCGAACACACTTCCTAATGGCAGAATTCGGCTGTTTAGCCTCTACACCACTGAAATATGAATTGAACAATACAGACGCTATTATAATACATTTCTAAAGTACAATAATAATGCTTAGCATCTAATTATACAATCTTCATATTCTGAATTCATAATCTTAAGATCATAAAACCATATGATATTTGGGGTTGTCTTCCCATATGCAAATGACAATCAAAACTAAGGCACAATTTACAGCTAGTCCTGTTTACGTAAGAACACAGCAAAATCCAGGCATCTCTGTATCTCTTTATTATTTTCCATGGATCTTACTCCAAGTAAGTGTGCATAACACTGAAACGTTAATTTTACTTATTGTAAGAAAAAACTGGACAATTATGTAAGTAATAACACAGATAAGCATACAGATAAAACCCATGGATCTCAACAAGACAAACTGAAGTCTCTCTGAGTTCCATGGGCTTGTTTCTAAGTAAGTAGAAACATATAGAACAGTATCCTTAGGCAAATAACTGGCTGTTATATGCTTCATAAAATAAAAACAAAAGAAACTTAGCATTTAAAAAGATGCAAAAGATGGATTAAGGTTGTTATAGGTAAACCAGTTCTCAAAGCATGGTCTGGGGGCCCTGAGAGTCTTTTCAGGAGATTGGCAAAATCAAGTATTTTAAAATCATTCCATTTTAATTTCTAATACACGAAATGCAGAAATAACTGATACAAACCAAAGCTTGTTGGAGTCCTCAATCATTCTCAAGAATGTAAAGGTTCCTGAGACCAAAATGCTTATTATTCTATATCAAACAGTAATTTCTAATTTTAATAATTGGAGCAGAGAAATCATTCAGAGCTGTGCTAGGATAACAACCTTGAAGATCTTTCTCTTACCGGTAAATTGTAAGTTTTATTATGGACTTTTTGAAGTTGTAGATACAAGAACATTCCCATTCCAACAACCAATACAAATTGTCTTTCTCTAAGGCCGCAATTCATACGGAGAATTGGGAATACCCAAGCACCTCTAACAGCAATAGTTCAATTATAAATAATTCCACACACTAGTTAATAATTGTGAGATCTCACTTACACTTTTTCCAGGACAATTCCCTTAGCATGGGAAGCTCCCCCAAAAGGGTTGGCTTTCAGAGCAGTACCCAGATGGGCCTTCTTATATTGTTTGTCATGCCACTTCTGTTCACGACGGTGACTGCGCAGCTTCCTGGCTGTACGAAGTCCACGACACTTGCCTAGGAAAGAAAGTTTAGAGATGAGAAGAAGAATTTTCCCTGGATTTCATCCGAAGGACTTCATTTCAATAGGTCTTACTACTGATTTATTTTCGTTAAACTTTCACGCTGTTTTTATTCTTGGATCCATCGACGACTCTTGATATTTTGGTGACATTTATTGTGGTGACAAACAAACAACTTGCAGTCAGATCTACTTAATAGGATAGGATTTCTTGAGGTAAAAAACCAAGGCTGCAAACTAAATTTTATAGGTTTTAAAAAGCGGCCCAAAGCCACAGAAAACTCCTTCTGAGCCCTGCCAGGAAACTGAAAAGGCGTGTGCAGGGAAATCGAACTGGACTCGAAGGAGACTTCCGCAAACTAATTGGCGCTTTAAAAAAAGAAAATCTGACCGAAGAGAGCAGCATCGAGGCAGACAATAAAGAGGACAGTTTCAATTATATATATATTCCTACTGTATACATATATCTATGCTTGGGAACCCAACCAAATGGGATAGTAACTTTCCCCTAAAGCGTGCCGGCCCCCCTATGCAGACACCCAGACATATAAGGACCGTTTATACCGCGCGCCCCAAAAGCTACAGGTTCCGCTCACCCATCGCGCGGCCGCGTCCCGAGCCGAAGACGACAAAAAAGACCCACAATCCTTTGCGGAGGATCTACGTAACAGTGGCAAAGCCCCCACGTAGATGTGGTGCCCTGCGCCTGACTCGCCGGGTTTTACACTCTCTTCTGTTAAGAGAAAAGAAAGGGCGAACGACAGCGTGGGCGTGGGAGGGTGAGCGAGAAGAAAAACATTACAACGCCGCTCACATGTGATCCTAATAAATTAGAAACGCCTCAAAGATACACACACACAGAAACACATTCCCACAGAATCCGGATTTCTATCTTCGCAAAGAAAGCCAGCCTAACCGGCTAAAATCTTTCGAAGGTGGTTGGGAATCTACTGTTTCTAGGCTTGAGCGAATGAGACTCTATCAGAAAAGGAGCGGCTGCCAAATAAATTCCCCACAATGCACCGCGCCTCAACTATCTTTCTTGGAGCAGGATCTCAGTTAGACAGCTTTTTCCCGAAAAGAAGGGGGGTCCTCGAGGCCGGTGCATTCTGGGCTTTCTTTTTCCTCCTCGGGATCCGCGGGCGACACGATGGGTGAGGTGTTCCGGCTGAACGGAGGGGTGAAAAGGGCCGCATTGTGGCTGAGGGATCTTGGCGGGCGGAAAAAAGCATCCCCCCCCCGCCGCCGTCCGTTCAGAGCAATCGTTACTCAATTTTTTAAGCACCACGAGGGGCCTCCTTGTGGGTTCCTAACATTAGTCCCTCGTGTTATTAATTCATAGAGCTCCCTGATACGAGATAACAGCGATGGTATATTTAAAAAGTCGGCCAGCAGGATTTGCCTGAGGATGCATTGAAATCCAAATTCCATCTTCCCCGACAAGCTTTGCCAAAGTTGTGCTCGTTAGGGGATATGGGAGTTCAAACTTAACAGGCTTGAAGAGCATGACATAGAGCCAATGTTTCCTTCTGTGGTAACTTCGTGGTGTTGATGAGACTACAGCCAGCATGACCACTCCTGAGAATTTGGGGAATAAAAGTCTATACCAGGGATCTTCATACTTGGCCCTTTTATGACTTGTGGACTTCCACTCCCAGAATTCCTCAGCCATCGTGCCTGAATGATTTTTACATCATATTTGGTTTACATAGATTTACTTACAAAAACTATCATTTTAATGTTTAATTTCCCATTTATTCTGCAATGAATAATGATATAAATTCCCATTTGTTACTAGGTGTATTATAAATAGAAAATTAAAATAAATTGGGAACATGCTATGAAAAGAAACCAGACTGAAACTTAAGAAATCGTGATATATATTATGTGCATTTGTATGCACACACACAAAGAGGGGAACACAGGACATTGGAGCAATAATAGAATAGAGCTGGAAGGGACCTAGGGGGTCTTCTAGTCCAGCCCCCCCTCCCCCGCTTAAGCAGGAGAACCTACACCATCTCAGACAGGTGATTGTATGGTCTTTTCTTAAAGATCTCCAGTGATGGGGTGCCCATGATTTCTGGGGGTAAGCTGTTCCACTGATTGATTGTCCACGCGGTCAGGAAGTTTCTCCTTAAATCCAGGTTGCTTCTCTCCTTGATCAGTTTCCAACCATTGTTACTTGTCCTTCCCTCTGGTGCTCTGGTGAACAACCTGACCCCTTCTGCCCCTCAAATACTGAAACACTGTTATCATGTCTCCCCTATTTCTTTCCTTTAAACTACTCAAACCCAAGTCACACAGCCGTTCTTCATATGTTTTAGCCTCCAAGCCTTTGATCATCTTAGCTGCTCTTTGAATTTTTTCTAAACTCTCAACATCTTTTTTGTGGTGTGGTGACCAAAATTGGCTGCAGTATTCCAGGTGTGGTCTTACTAAGGTTTTATAAAGCAGTACTAATACTTCGCATGATCTTGATTCTATGCCTCTGTTTATACAATCCAGGATTGTATTAGCTTTTCTGGTTGCTGCTGCACACTGCTGGCTCATAGTCAACTGGTCATCCACTAGGATTCCAAGATCCCTCTCACAGTTACTGCTTTTAAGCCAGGTCCTGCCCAATCTGTATTCGTGCTTTTGTTTTTTCCTGCCTAAGTGTAGGATTTTGCTTTTTTGGATAGGGCCCATTGTTCGAGTTTGTCAAGATCTTTTTGGATCTTCCAAATTTTGTTTATAAGGCTTTAGCATAAAGTATCTCATTTTCAGTATAATCAGTTGCTTAAATTTGTGCAAAAAACATCCTGGATATAGTATCAGAAAATACTGTAAAATATTAGTGCAATTTTGAGTAGATTAAAAAAAATGAATCTTAGAAATCCTACTTAAATAGGGAAAGTTGATGAAGGTCCAGTTTTACAGACTTAATTGTAATTCCTAATAACTTTTATCACACCCTTTTCTAGGCAAGTGTCGTGGACTTCGTACAGCCAGGAAGCTGCGCAGTCACCGTCGTGAACAGAAATGGCATGACAAGCAATATAAGAAGGCCCATTTGGGTACTGCTTTGAAAGCCAATCCTTTTGGGGGAGCTTCTCATGCCAAAGGAATTGTTCTGGAAAAAGTGTGAGTTTCACTAGGAATTAATTGAATCTTAATTTTGACTGAAGAGATTTACCCTATTTCTTTTAAGGTGTATTGTACTGTTTAGCAGAACTGATAGATGGATTAAGTGCAGTTGTGTGACTGAATAACATTTCTAATACATTCCTGTTAACTAGCATTTAGGCAAATATTGGGGATATTTGCTCTTTTAGTTTTGTAATCATGGCAATATTTTAGGAAAAATATTTTTGAAAGTATTAATGTATTTTGTTAAGAATAAAAATAGCATCAAATACTGGAAAATTTTCTTTAATTTCTGATCTTCTGAGTAAAGTGAAATTTGATACTGGGTTTTGTTGAAGACTTAAATTACATTAGGCATTACTTGTTCCATGGACTTGCTTGTTGAGGCTGGTTTGCAATTTGCTGTTTGTGTCATAAGCGAGACTCTGGGTTTTCATTATTGTTTTTATTTGAAAAATATGGAATTGGCATTTTGGTTACTTTCTAACTCAGCGAATTTCAGTTTTTTTCTTGTATGCAGCCCATCAATATGAGGACTTGAACTAAGCTCAGTTTTACAAAGATAGAAAATCTTCATTCAGTTAGGGAATACTTTTGATCTGTCTTAAAACCTCATGGAGGGAATGGAAAATATAGCAGTTTCTGCTGCACTTCTGTGTGCTTTCCTTCCTTAAAAATTTGGTCCAGAAATTTGAGGAACTATCTGGAACATTGGAAGATATACAGAGAAGAAAGCTGCAAAGATCATCTCCCCTTTATGCTTGCTAGATTGGTTCTGAACTCTTTAAGAAATGTTCCCACTAATGGAAGAGAAGCTGAATCTGACCCATGTCTAAAATGTGGAAAGTGGTGGGAATATGCCTTTATTAAATAAAATGTTTTTCTATTCTAGCCAAGAAGATGTGTAGCTTATGTTAAAAAAATTATTTTCATTTTAGTGGTGTAGAGGCTAAGCAGCCAAATTCTGCTATTAGAAAGTGTGTCCGAGTCCAGCTCATCAAGAATGGGAAGAAAATAACAGCTTTTGTTCCCAATGACGGTTGCTTGAACTTCATTGAGGTGAATAATTAATCTTTGCTCTATAAAACAGTAGGAAATAGTAATGTATTTTTGCAATAATTATGACTGAGATTTTCTATAAAATATTTCATATGTGATCATGTTGCAGGAAAATATTTGCGCAGAAAATTCTCAAAAATTGCAGGGAGGTGCTTACCTAAAAATGTCCTATCTATAAAAATACAAGGATCAAATAATCTCCTTTTTTTCTTATACACACACAAACCTAAAATACAACCTAATATATACATATAAAGAGGGTAAAATCAAGAGAAGAAAAATCATTAGCTGCCTGTATATGAAAGGGAATGATGGACCCTTGCAATAAAACATTGTCCAGAAGCTTGGTATTGTGGTCAATTATTGGGAGATGAATTTGGACCATGAACTTGGTTTTCTAGTATTCGGATTTTTCTCAAGAAAAGAAAAACATTTTAGGAAATTAGGGTTTTCTTTTTTCTTGTTCTTTTTCTGTGTTGCTTCTCAGCTTCTTAAAAAGAAGTAATATATTTTGTTTGGCAAAGTGAGCCAAGGTTGTTGTGCATATGTTTATTAAATTTTGATTGAATGACATTAACTGTTATTTGTTCATTCTTCATTGAATTTTAGGAGAACGATGAGGTTCTGGTTGCTGGCTTTGGTCGAAAAGGACATGCTGTTGGTGACATTCCTGGAGTTCGTTTCAAGGTTGTCAAAGTGGCAAACGTTTCCTTGTTAGCCTTGTACAAAGGCAAAAAGGAGAGACCCAGATCATAAATTTTATTTTGCTGTTAAGATAATAAACAACCATTTGCTCCTAAGAAATGGCCATCACTTTTATTATGCTGGATTTTGTAGTTTGGACATTATGCCTTTTACATAAATGACAGACTCAATAGTTATAATAATTAGGTTGATCTGGACATTTTTATATTGGATCTGGATTTGTAGTACAATACTAGAGTGGTACATTAGTCGTTGATCACAACCTAGGAGGCCCAGTTCAAATTCATCACAATCATGGAAGCTCACTGGAGGACTTTTTGCCAGTCATGATTTTACAATCAACCTCTATCAAAGAGTTGTCATGGGAATTGGAGCTTGGAATACTTTTAGTTCCTGAAGGAAAAATAAGATAAAAATGTAACAATCATTTTAAAGTTGATGAGATATGCTTGAAATACATTTTATTCTAGTTTTCTAAATTGGATCCTTTTTATTAGTCTCAGGATTATATTTGTTCCCATCATTTGGTAATGGGAAGATATTTAAGCTCCAGCATAAAGGTATACATGGATACAGGGATACATGAAGGACCAATGAAGCTATAGGCAACCATTTGCTTTGGGGGGAGGGAGGTATGTGTGAAATGCAAAATATGTTTTATTTCAGAAATTGAAGAAAATGTTGTGTCCAGAAATTCTGTCAAATCATAGATCAATTACATTTTGGGAGAAGCAAATGAAACAGTTTTTCATATCCTTTATTTCATCAGGAACAAAATCCAAAACAGTTTTAGATAACAGGAGAAATAGTTGAAATATCTTCTTTGCCTGCAAAAATCTGAACAACCTTAAGTTGGCACAAACACCCTATTCTTTGGAGTCAGCTCACAGAGTGGAAGAAATGAGTAAATGTAATAAAAATAGGGAATAGAAATGTCTAGTTTACACAAAGTAACTAGGTTCATACCTTCTATTCATTTCTGAAATAATGAACCCATATCCAATGAATTGAAGATTTTATTCAATAATCACCACTGGATTTTCACATAGAAGCAGATAATATTTGGGTAGTTACAATACTTAGAAATAGCATAATGTGTCCATTTCTTAATGGTTTATGATTGTGCTTATATAAAACTACATAGTTTGCACATACAGATGCACTTTATGCTCTTGCAGTCTTAACATACAGACTGCTTCCTCATCCTAGAATATGCTGACATGCATATAATTTATTACTTGGGTTTCCTTAAATGTGACTTGTCATTCAGAGATAATGGAAAGGGGTCTTTATTTGTCCCTGTATTCCCACCACTTCTACTTCCTTATAATTCAGCGCGGATTATCTTGGCCTGTTTGATAAGAGGTAGTGATTATTCTGGTCAAGTTTACAATAGAAGCTTTTAAAAGTGTTTGCAAGTTAACGTGCCATGGATCTGGTGGATTCAAGAATCCACGGTGGCAACTTGTTGCTAAGGTTATAGGAAAAGGAATTTGGAAGGATCTTTTCCACCAAAGTTGGGGTACGTTTTGCTGGTGAGTTTTCATGAAGACCCACTGGCCTGGCTAGATAGTACTGGTTGGTTTTGACAACAGAAGATAGGAGAGTGATGCTTAACACTACTTAACTGCAGACAATAAGTTCATTTGGTTATTTGGTGTGAAATAAATTTGCACAATGTGGCTTCATAATAGGTATGATCCTGGTTGCCTACCAATACTTTTGCCAATATGTCCATTAAAATGGGCTCAGCAAGAGGAAAAAAAGAGGAACCAACCAAGTAAAGAGCTCCATGGGAGCTAAGAAAGCATCTTCCATTAATCTAGTCCTTTAAGTTAGATTTAGCTTTTGAGCAGACAATGAATTTGAGGAAGTAAAAGGGCATCCTGTACAGAAATTTTGGAAGACTAAAAAGCACATTAACTGCAAGAATTCATTACCAAATTAACAAGAATGATCTTTTATTTTAATGACATCAAATGCAGAGAGCAGAACACCATCAAGTAAAGTAGAAATAACCAGAGAACAGAGAGACCCATGGTTTTGCCACATTTGGTCATTGTCATGTAACAACAACATTGGTTCTTACAAATATTAACAGGAACCAAAAGCTGAAAGACAAGCTTGAGTTGCAGCAGGTATGTTATCAACTTGAACAGAGAGGAGGTGGTGGTATAGAACCAGATTCAACACATTCAAAGGAGAATTCTACATACCTAGAAACATGTTTCCATCAGGGAGTGTAAGAAAATCCATTGCTATAAAATTTAATATCGCATTTGCAATGGGAATTCCTTTAATATCATGGCAAGGAGAAAGTTCAGCAATTGAAAGAAGACAACCATGATTGGAGATGGGTAAGGAGGAAGGATCGAGGAAAGAAACATTGACAGTAAAATTTGGAGTTTTCAAGAAAGTCACTCATTTGTTCAGGCACTGGGAGGCAAGGACAAGACAAAACAATAGTACAGCCATCACTACATGAGGAACAGTCACAGAGAACAATATCCATTAACAGGTTGAGAATTGGTCCAATTAAAAAGGCAGCAACTTGAACTGCATGGAGACAAGATGAAAAAGGACAGCAACTGAATTAAGCTTGGAACTGTTATTTTGCCAAATGGGCAAAAACACCATGCACCTGTTCAAACACACCAGAGGTTATACCATAATGTTCATGGCAAAATATGGTAAAATATAATAATTAGGGAAGCCCAAAAATGAACAGAATCTAATGCCTTCTTTAGTTGACCAAAGACATGGCCCTAGATCTTACTGTAAACAAAAGCAAGTAAAATTTGAAGAAGAGACTGGGAGTTGAACTTAGCCAAATCAAGAATACAAATGGTAGGAAGTAACAGCCTGAAAGTAATGTTTACCTGTGAAATCAAATGAGCCAAATAAAGAAATGTTCATTTTGATTTGACCAAACTACATGCAGCAAACATATACTACTCATTGTTATTCTACAAACAGCCTGGGAATCAGAATCAGGATCAGCAATGCTAAAACGCCTGAACAAATGCAAGTGAAGAATTTTGCATGTGACTATATTCTGAGGAAAGCTTTGCAGATATAACAGTCAGTCTGTTATATAATAGTTTCAGGAACTTTTACACATGTTAAATGATAATGGTGCTTCAACAGCTATCAATTTGCAATGATAGTGAAGAGTTACATTTTCTCCTAAATGAGACCAAGGTTGAGTTCTTTAAAGCTGCAGTATTATTGTATTTCTTTTTTAAAAATATTCTCAGGTATGGCAGAATACTCTGACAGCTACACTCCAGCACACAAGTGAAGCTAGAGCTTATTTTCTCCATATATTTTCCAGAAATGATACTTATCCTTTATTCCATATATTTATTGTGAATATTGAGAAGGAATCTAATGAATTAGTCTTAACACTGTGCTATGTTGGAAATATGAAAAATGGTAGGCAGATTTTAGATCCTTTCTCACATTCTTTAATTTCTTTGACTTCTGGATTTCCTAATACATCAAGAAGCTGTATGCATAATGGAATTAATAAGGTTACATTGAAATCATCTTTGGGGTGCTATGAAACCTTACTTCCTGTTATCTCAAAAATTAGGATTTCTTATCACCTGGAGAATCTGTGGGATGGAAGAGCTTGTTATGATGCATTCACAGGTCTAGCCTACTCTAGCACCAAACCTGTTTTCTGGTTAACAGGGTTTTTACTTTCTTGCTTCCCCCACATGCCTGCAGTTGGGGTGTGGATAGGCAGGCACTATGTTTTCTTTTATTTGCCTCCAAGGACTGAAGGAAACATGATGCACTAATGGGACTGGAGAAGGAGACCCAGGTGTGTTATCCCTAGTTTTGGAGAATGGTACGGATTCAAAATTAGTGCTTTAAGCCAAGCAAAGATTTAACATGCAGGTAATGCCTCGCTTAGGAACCATTCAAAGTTATGAATGGTACCCCCCAAATGTACTTACAACCTAATTTCAAAGATTGGATAGCCACATACAAACACCCTTCCCCCACGGTCACATGATAGCATTTTGGACACGTGGTAAATGTTCACCTTCACATCCATTTGCAATGTCCTGGAGTCACGTGACTGCAATTTTTGCAATTTCTTCTAATTTTTGGCAAAAAAATTCCCACTAGATAAAATGGATTCACTTAACAACTGCAGTGTTTACTACTGCTGCATTTACTTAATAACTATGGTGTTCACATAATGACCACCGCAAAAATGATCATAAAAATTGGGCAAGGTCACGTGGAGACCCTGCTTAATGACCAAAATGATTTTCAGCCATAATTCCGGCTCAATTAGTCACAAGTCAAGGATTACCTGTACCTATTTGAGGGCTTATTTCATTTTAAAAAAACAGGGTAGTAGTCGTGATACTATTCAATATAGTGGCAACTCATGTCCTATTCCCAATGAGCAGCTGCTACATTTGACAGACAGATATCCTTTTTTTCTAGCCAAAGAACAACCAGATTTACAGACATAAAAGAGTTGAAAGTCTTCTAGTCCAACCCCTGCTTAAGCAGGAGTTCCTATACCATTTCAGACAAATGGCTCAACAGTCTCTTCTTAAAAACCTCCAGTGAAACCAGGAGTAAACTAAGCAAAAGCTACAAACAATCTGATAGTCTACCAAGATACGAAAACTTCCCTGGCTCCTGGCTTGCTCCCTCCTCTGAATCTTCCATCTTCGATAATAGCTCAGCTATCTGTTGGGTGCTTAAGGGGGCTTCCAGAGCCACAGGATAGATGCTGTCTAGGATGATTCTGTCTCTAACTGCTGCAAACAATGCTTTTCTTTTCTTATGAAGTTTGCCTACCAAACACATAAGAACCAAGAGTTTTCTTGCTAAAACAGTTCTGTGTTCCAAGAGAGACATTTTAATCTCAACTAAAACCAAACCTTAGTTTAATATCTTCTAACCACCTTCAGAAATCAGGATGGATGGTTCCCGTATATACAAACAGATAGTGTTCTATTATAATTTTCTGGAAACTACCAAATCAATGAGATTTCCGTCACTACTATATTCAATGTCTACTATCAATGGTTCAGATTACTGGCTCCCCCCCCCCCAAGTTCCT